CCCCAAAACCCCAAAACCCCAAAACCCCAAAACCCCAAAATATCTTCAGATAATAAAGATAGAATATTTCATATAAATTAGGCGATTTATTAATCAACTTTTAGAATAGTCAAACTCAGCACAGTGGCAAGTCCTGTTGCAAGGAAACTTCCGAAGTCTGCTGCGACTGCAAGGTAGTTGATGAGCTTCTCTCTATTAATCTTCGTGAGCTTCTTGTTGTCCATAACTCTGTAATAAGAGAATACATATCACCATCCTCCAATAAGCCCGACAAGTGTGGCCAAAGCTAGGATTATGAATTTGTTCACGTTAACATAGAATAAGCAGAATGCGAAGAAGGCAATGAATAGGATAAACAGGAGAATTGTCATTAACCCTGTAGCCTTACTCTTGACACAATAGAGTGATGATCTTGCTATAAGTACTCCGAATTGATACAAGAACTGGTTTATGGTAAACAGGTTTTTCTCAAAGAAGCCATCATCCTCCACTGTCCGCAGCTGAGAAAGTCTATCAAAGAATCCTGTAATTATGGTGTACTCGAAAATGTAGAAAAAGAATACCCATACATGATTGAGAGGGTCAATTTTGTACCCTTCCCACAAAGTTTGCTCCTTGTTTTCGATTAAAGTTTCATTTTCAGTTTGTGTTTGACCAACTCATGAACTTGAGTGATTCAATACCTCAAGGCCAAATCTTGGGGTTGGACTTCGATCTGCTTCTTTGAAGAAATTATTTTTCATCACATGAGCATCAAGATTAATAAAATTAGCTAAATAAAAGAGAACCACTGGAATCATCACCGAGAATATGATGTAGGTTGGTACTTCTTGCGAGTCCAGCACCAGAAATATCAAGGAGCCCACGAAGCCTCAGATTCCAGTTCCAGAGCTGAAGGGTCCCACGAACTCTGCAGGGATCGACTTGATGAATCCGTAGTGGATGACCTGGCCGAAGGCTGAGGCTGTCCCGGTGAAGATGGCGCCGACCACAACGAGGTAGAAGGAGGAGAACCAGCCTGCGACTATGCAGCCGTAGCCAGCAATCATGATGAATGTATTAGCAATCAAACGATGCTTTGGTTTGAATCTCATGAGTAATAAGGCATTGATAAATAAGATCGTCACGCTTGCTATATTTGCAGCAAACATTATAGCAGATACTAAATTATTCTGATCGAAATGTAAGGCAATTGTCTTGCTACTCGAGAGCAACAAGAAGAATCCAAACTGATTAATAAGCCCTTGGATCGTTAATTGCATCTTTGCTCTTGTTTTTGGATTCATGGTTGTTTAATTATCTTTTCAATCCGTAATATTAATTTGGGGTTTTGGGGTTTTGGGGTTTTGGGGTTTTGGGG